CGATTATCCATCGTAAAAAAGATAGAATTATGTACAGAACAGATTATTGCCTATAGTTAGCATATTAATAATTCTCACAAATAATAGTATATAATACATCTATTAAGTTAAGCTAATCGCGTATTACAACCGTATACATTTATTTATACGTTGAAAAATCAAGATCACTTTATAGAGAAAAAAAAGAAAAAGACCATAGGGTGTGCCTTACGTAACTATCGAAATTTCATGAAATTAAATTATAAACATTTATGAAACAGTGTATTATTATTTTCATTATTACATTATAAAGCACTTATGTTATATTTTTATCATTATTATTATTATTATTTTATTATTATTATTATTATTATTATAACTACAACTACAACTATTACTATTATTGCTAAAATTACTAGACTATTACAATTGCAACTGCTAGTGCTATTATTATTATTATTATAATTATGTATGTACATATGAATATAATCCTGTGTTACGTATTCGCATCAAATCGACACGTTCGTCATTCTATTTATTGTTAGTCAGGTGCATTACCAAACATTTTCGCATTAAAACAAAAAAGAAAGAAAGAAAAGAAAAGAAAAAAGAAGGCAATCTCGTATAAGCTTAGCGTCTTAGCGAGTAATTTTAATTATCTTTTTACGTAATACTTTTTAACAATACAAGAGAAGAAGATGAAGAAGAGAAAAGAAGTATGTGACTGCGAGTAAGGAAGTGTATAGAAAGACTAATATTTCATAAATATATAAATATTTCATAAATTAATTAAAAGTGAGTTTTTATTTAATAAATGATTAATTTATGATATATTACATTTAATTTATATTAAATTGTATGTAAAATACAAAATAAGAAGATAATACATTGAATATTATATGTATTATTAACGATTAATTATCGATAAATTTTAAATTTCGCGCTTAAATTTAGTAAACGTTTAAGTGGTACATTGGCATGGCGTTACTAGTTTTTATTAGTTCCTAAATTTTTTACCAGAAGTAAAATAACCAATGAACAAACGAAAGAATAAATAAGAGGCGCTCGAGTTGGTGGTAATTTATAAAACGTTAAATTCTCTCGATATGATTCAACCAATGATCGTGCTTTTTAGTGTTCATAACAGTATTATAAGTTTGCATGCGTTAGTTAGGCCATACTGTCGCTGTGATCTCGAAAGGGACATCTTACGAGTGTCGATTGAATTTCGATTAAATCGTCTAATCTTCTCTCTCTCTCTCTCTCTCTCTCAATTTTTGTTTTTATTAAAATAAATATTATTTAAATACGAATAAAAGTAAAAAGTATATTGACGTCAAATAATTAATAAAGTAAAAGAATTCAAGTCTAGCGAGAAGAAAAGAATAGTTTGGCACAGTGTTGGTAAGGGTGGTAGTAGTGATGCTGATGGTGGGGGAAAAGATCGTACAGCCTGCTCGCGCTCGCGGCAGAATGAAAATGGCGTTGTTCATTTGTGAACCAAGTAACGGACATTGACTATGTAACGCACTTATTTTTTCTCTTCTCGCTAATATTCGTATCCTCGTCATATTGTTGTATATTCGCCGCCGTTTGTGTTCTTATATTTAAATCGTTGTAATCACGTTATAAATAAGTGAAGAACGAACTAAATATTCGAGAAGTCAAATCGAATAGATACGAGTATTCAAGAAATTAGATATAGACGATACACGTATATATATATATATATATATATATATATCTATATCGATATATAAGTATATGCATTAAATATATATATATATATATAATACATCGAAAGAAGGAGGAGAGAGGAGGGAGACAGAGTGAAGAGAGTTGGGACTGTGCGCGCGTGCGGCGTTGTATCCTTTGCTCAGTTCTTCCGCGTGCGTCGTCGTCGTCATCGTCGTCGTCATCATCGTCGTCGTCGTCGCCGTCGTCGTCGCCGTCGTCGTCGCCTAGTGAAGAGGTGGAGGAGGAGGTGGAGGAGTAGAAGAACAAGAAGAGAAGAGAAGGAGGAAGAAGAGGTGGAGGAGGAGGTGAAGAGGAGAAGAGAGGTAGAGTAGAGTAGTCTTCTGGTCGCTTTTCGTAGTCGTCGCGTTGAGAGTGGCAGTGCTGTAGTGAGCCAGCTGCTGGTAAAGAAGCGCGCGGTGCTCGTGTAATGTGAGATAAAGATAGAGATAGAGACACATACCAGAAAAAGAAAAGGGACGAAGAGAGAGAAAGAGAGGGAGAGAGAGAGGACACATACAGAACTTCTGTATAAGACTGAAAAGAAGAAGAAAAAAAGAATAATAAGTAGCGTGCGCGAGAGAGAAAGAGACAACAAACACGATGAAGTGACACCGCGACGTGATTAAATTTTCGTGGACTGGTGGAAAATAAGTGATTCTGGGGGGCCGATAAATTCGCGTCGTTGAAGGACGAGTTCGTGCCGATGCCGGCCGAATACCGAGAGAACCACGAGAACGCCAATTTTCCTGTTGGGGCTGGACAGGACGCCAGCAACATGACGGCCAACATGTATCGAGTGGGAGGTAAAGTATTGCAACCAAAGATACCCCAACAAAAAATACCATAGAAAGAAAGTATAATAAACATATACCTGCTTTCCTCCCCCCATAAAAAATAATAGAAAAAAGATATTATATTTGAGAGCTATGTTAACGCGAAACCTCCATTCTACCATAGAGTTCGAGCACTAAACAACGCGGCTTTAATTAACCTAGGACAAATTAATGTTTGCAAATGGCATCGCTATGGCGTCCCCGTTTTACCCCATTTTCTCCCCGCGCGCGTGAGACCCCTCTTCTTTTCTCTCTTCGTCTTTCCCCTCTTTTTCCTCGTTTCCCCCCTATAGCCCCTCTTCTCTTTCTTTCTCTCTCTCTTTTCCCTCCTGCGTCTCTCTCTTTGCCTCTTCCTCCTCCTCCTCCTCTCCCTCCTGCTACCGCTTCCCCGCTACCGTGCAGCGTCCTGTACGTCTACGTCTGCTTTTCTCTTTTCCTCCCTACCGTTACCCTCCCGCTATTCCCACCCCCCTTTTCCTCCTCTTCTTCCCCGCACTCACTCACTCAGCCCCTCATTCCCTCCCCCTTTTCACCTTCCTCTCGCTCTCTCTTTCTCTCTCTTTCTTTCTCTCTCCCCATATTTTACCTATCTCCCTACCACCCCATACCGGACCCACTATTGCTCCTTCCTTCGGGTCATGCTAATTTCTTGCACGATGAATCCCGTTGATTGAAATCATTTCTTTATACTTTTTTTAATAAGTATTTTTTTTTGTTTTTAAATTATTTGCTATTTTCTCGGAAAAACGCGTTGGTAGACTTTGAGTATTTGAAATGGTGGAATTGTGATGGTTCTCTTTCTGTTTACCCGCCAATCTTTAGCTCTTTCAGACACTCACCGATGAGGAAGATTTGATTATATTTTTGTTCGTGTTTTGTTTAATCAATGAGAGAATAGATTTAGAGATTTTTATGATGAGTCAGTGCGAGAATTTTTGAAATAAATATTTGGAAATTCTTGGAAATTTGGGAAATTTAAGACTTGAATAAGCAATTTTCTATAAATATGTAAACGAAGATTTACAAATTGAATGATTTATTTAAATTTTGGAAAACGTGAAAGGCTCTTTTACTTATTGTTTAAATTTCAGATATACGTGTGCATATAGATACAAAGTTCAAATCCGCTTGAATCGTTGTAGAACATTTTTCAGGGTTATAATTCTTTTTTCTTATCTTCTCTTTTTATTTAAAAAATGATAAGAATATTGTTTTGTTTTCTAGGAAAAAGTTTGTGGACAACCGTAACTTTCTCTTTTTTTGTTTGTTTGGACAGACGAATAGAAATGTTGTTTAGTTTCTTTCAAGATTATAGTATTTTTGTGTGTTAGATAACAAATAATTTAGAAATTAGTTTATTTAATTGCAACAAAAATATGTAACAATACTTATACTCGGTTAATATATTTTTTTATTCTTAGGAACATTAATATTTCTATTATTATTACTTAGCATTACTTATATTAATATATTTTATTATCTAAGTATTTCTGTAATTATATGGAATTATTTAATGTTGAACTAATAAATGTATCGATATTATTTCAGATTATGTATATTTTGAAACATCTTCCACTTCTCCTTACCAAATAAGAAGGATAGAAGAGTTAAATAAGGTAAAATCAAATTTAATCAATAATTTTATTTAAATTCATCTCATATGTACGTTGGTCATCAAAATGTTGTCTGATATTTATTTTTAATATTAATAAAATAATACATTCTTATATTTATGCTATATCATATATTAACATATTATTTATTTTTTTCAGACTCCAAATGGAAACGTTGAAGCAAAAGTCATGTGTTTTTTTAGGCGGAGGGATTTACCCTCTACTTTAATAGTATTAGCAGATAAACATCAGTGTGAGTACAAATCCATGGGTTTCTATAAATTTCTATTTGATTAAAAACAAGTAATATAAATCAAAATGTATAAAACATTTTGATTATTTGCTCACAGTGAGATGATAATTATGAAGAAGAAGGATATATTTATTTTTTTAGCATTCTTTTTGTTTTAAAAGTAATAACATAAAATATACGTTGTTAAAAAAATCTACCTGAGATTCGACGTTTTTAACAAATGAAAAAATGCATTAGTATAATTAGTACATTAACGAGTACGTATGGTAAATGTGTATACGTGTATTTATATATAAACATATTTATTATTTTTATACAAATAATATTCGATTTTTTAAATATATGAACTTAACTCGCACCTGTGGCGATTAGAAACAAGCTAGACAAAATTGCAAATATGTAATATAGAATAAGGCTTGAAAAACTAAACTTTAAACGAATACATAAATACTATATATCTATATCTATATACATGCAAATATACATAAACATACGTGCTCGTAAATACATTTGTCAATGATAAAGCGACAGAATACGATAGAAATGGAAGAGGTACGTGTATGCATGTGTCGTCTACGCGCGCTCTTTCATATATACATATATTTATATATATATAAGTATATATATATACTTATATACATGTGTGTACGTGTATGTGAGAGTGTGTGAGTCTCCGAAACTCTCTCGATTTTTCCTTTGCAGTGGCAAAGATAATGAGACGTGGGGATTGAGGGGGCAGCTGGGGGGTAAGGGTGGGAATGTATAATAAGTAAAGTTGGGGGGTGGCAGTGGGGTGGAATGGGGGTTGTATCGATCTGCTGGGGGTGGCAGTCGGAGGTTGGGGGAGGAGGAGGAGGAGGAGGTGGCGAAGGGGGGATCGGGGGAGAAAGAGGAGGGGGCGGTACACCCGCCAAGGCCCCCATTCCACCTCCACCTTTCCTCCCGCCAGCCTCAACTAAATGAATGACTGACGCAGGGGTTGGTCGGGTACGTGTTATGTGTGTTCTCTCTCTTTCTCTCTCTCTTTTGCACGTACACATATACACATACTTACAAATACACCCAACTCGCCACTACTCTCTTTGGACACTGCAATACATACGTATACACGTATCACGAATGGAAAAGGACGAAGGTATACATACACACATACATTTATACTTATACACACACACACACAGGCGAGTGTGCGAGCCTGGGCAAAACTGGTGGCGGTGGTGGGCCTCCACTAGCCATCTTCGTTTTAAGCATTTGTTCCCTCCTCAGCCTCTCACCATGCCTCCTCCTCCTCTTCATCCACCTTCTCCACCTCAACCCCCATCTCTACCTCTATCTCCACCCCCTCATCCTCTTCCCCTTCCTCCTCATCCACCACCTCCTCCTCATCCTCCCTTCTTTTATGTCGTGCGCGAGTAAGAATGTGTGTGTGAGCATCCGCTCTCTTTCACTCTTACGTGCTTCTACTTGTATTGTATCTCTATCCACCGGTATTTGTTTCAAATCAGACTCTCCCTATTCTACCTCTCGTTCCCCGTATTTCGAGCTGTGCAAATTTTCTGAAAAAACCTATCTACAATCTATGCATATTATATATATACATATTATACACATATATATATATATATATAAACAAATACATATACACTAAGTATGCAGTATGAACTAGATATATCTTTACTACAAATATACATTTTTATTATTGCTGTGTGTATGTTGTATGTTTACTTCTTTTTGGTTTGGAAAAGGAAAGATTTTTATAAATATTTAAATACGTGTAGTAAATTACTAATATTATATCTATTCGTGTGTCTGTTATTAATCAATTAATTTTGTATTACTGTTTGCAAAATAAGAAAGGGAAAAAGTAGATTTATTTCTATCGTATATGTTATAGTAAATGTACTATAAATATATGGCAATAATAATTGCTATTATTAATATTTAAAAATGATATTATCTTGTAGCTCGTAAAAGTAAGTTTTGAGCGTTAATTAAATTAGTAAATAGAAACGTGGATGGGAATTGGCTAATTAAATCAAAATTCTATTTATATATATTGATATATATTTATATATATGTAGCTTTGTGGACAACATTTTCATAAAATTTTGATAGATTCGTTATCTATTGGTATAAAATATATATATATATATATTTTATATATATATATATNTAATAAATGAACCAAAAGATACTAGCAAGAGCGGACAACAAAAAAAGGTGCAAAAATAATTATAAAAGTCGATAATAACATTCACAGCATAAAAAAAAAAGTTTTTTTTTTTTTTTTTTTTTTTAATAGAACAAAATATGTAGAGAAGCCTCAGATTACTAAAGAATCATCATTCTATACGGCGGGATTTGTTTGTGAATTGATGATGATGATGATGATAATGATGCTGACAAGAATGATAAATAAAAATGAAGCCAAACATATCATCAGGAAATGGAAATGTTCGATGAATAAATTTAAAATATGTATACTTATATAGTAGGCGTATAATATATTATATATTATATATTTATATATATATATAATATTTATCTATACGTAGCAACAAGAAACACGTAGAGGAAATTTACTAGTTTATTCGTGATTAAAAAGTCTCTGTCGTATGTAGTTCGTAGACACTAGAATTTTGTTTTTATTTTTGTATTGAATTTAGTTTTGAAAAAAAAAATACAATTATAAGTAATCAGAAATAGTAGAGTGGGTTTTGTAATGAAAATTCCAGTGGCAAGTGCAGAGCAGCAAAGGTCAGAATCTCCTGCAAGCACACAGAGTACGAAACTGGAGAATCCAGATTCTACTAAGGAAATCACTAATAAAGATGGGATTGGCCCAAAAGTGATGAACAAAGGGGGCGGGAAAGGGGGCTGGCTGAAGGCCCCGCTATCGGAGGCCCAAGAGCCCCATGGTGAGTGAGCAGTCGATTAGAAAGTGACCACTACAGATGAATCTAGTAGAAATATATATTTAATATCAAGATTTTTGTATCTTTAAGATTAGAAATTTATGATATATTGTATAGGCTTATTTAATAATTTCTTATATTAAAAAAGGCATTATTGTTTTAGAATTCTAGAATTTTTTTTCAGATCACAATATGAAATATTTAGAAAAAATTAGATTTGTTCTTTTAGATCAATTCTAGGATTTTAATTAACAAATGTTATTAGAGTATGAAAAATATAATTATGAAATCTATTTATACAAGGAAATTAAAATAAGTAGTTGTAGATTCATCGGTAAGGGTCATGATTGTGCTCCTTAATTATTTCATTAGTTGTATATAGAAGCCAGTGATGATGTAAGGCTACAGATTCATCGGCGGGATTTTAAAATTCTTTGTAATCTTGGTGTTTGCTGTAAGAAAAGGCTGAAATTCACTGTAAGGCCAAAGAGACAACAATTTGGGTTAATCGGAGCTTCTCGTTCGTAGTTTTTACGTAAGAAGTTTTCGGTAACTCATCTATAAATGTAATATTTATAGAAAAACCCGTACATCTTCTATTCATCATGCAAATACTTCATATTGCATTAAATTTTTAATATAATAGCATATATTTGCTGAATGATATATGATATTTTGTTATATATT